TCTGGGCCGCGGGCGACTGCGCGGGCCGCAACGCCGTGTCGCCGCCGGGGCTCCTGTCGACGGGCTTGGCCCAGTGCCACGTGGCCGTGCGCGACGCGTTCCCGGAGGAGTGGGCGGCCTACGTCGCGGGCCACGGCTCCCACGTCGGCGAGGCCGTCAAGGAGGACAAGCACGCGGCGACGGCGCTCTGGATCGAGGACGGCGTCGGCGCCGTCGGCCTCAGCGCGGAGCAGGCCGCGGACGCCCACGGGCCCGACGCGGCGTCGATCGCGGTCCCCTTTAACGACACGATCAAGGCCTGCGTCCAGCCGCGGCCCGACGACGAGTTTCTAAAGCTCGTCTTCCAGCGGTCCACGGGCCGCATCCTCGGCGTCCACATCTTCGGCCGCGACGCCGCGGAGATGGTCCAGCACGCGGCCGTTCTCGTCAACGGCGAGAAAACCATCTGGACCGCGATCAAGGAGGTCCCGCCCGCGGTCACCTACGGCGAGGTCCTCATGAGCGCCTGCTTCCGCGCGGTCGACGACCTCGGCGGCGGCGCGCTCCCGCGGAAGGCGTAGAGGGGCCCGCAGACGCCGAAGACGATGGCGAAGAAGGGGAAGCCGCGGCCCGCCGACCTGATCCGCGTGCGCCGACGGCCGCCCACGGGCGGCCGCCAAAGTCCCACGTTAACTAGTTAAAGCACCCATACGCGTGACCCGCGCGAGGGTAACACGTACCTCAAGGTCGGCTAAATCTCTCGACGCTGCCCCCGGTCCTGGCTCTGAGAATCGCTGCCAGCCGAATCACATAACATCCGCGAGCGCCGTCATCATGGGCAGCGACGACGAGAGCGAGGGATCCCGGGACCGTGAGCGGCGCGCGCGGTCCGGCAGCAAGGACGACAAGATGGACGCCGACGACGGCAAGGACGACGGCGAGGACCGCGAGCGCATCCAGAAGGTCATCGAGGTCGACAAGGACGACGCGGCGTTCGTGCTGGGCCGCGGCGGCTCGACGAAGCGCAAGATCGCGCGCGTCGCCGGCGCGGAGATCGAGCTCGACGAGCACGCGCTGACCATCACCATCTCCGGCTTCAAGGACCAGTGCCTGCACGCGATCGACTACATCGACTTCATCCGGCAGCAGCGCGTCGGCCCCGTGACCATCAACCTGGACAGCACGCGGAACGACTTCAGCGCCTTCACGGTGCCCGGCGACTGCATCGGCTTCGTCATGGGCCGCAACGGCGCGACGCTGCGGTCCATGGAGGAGGAGTGGGGCGTGCTCATGTTCTTCGCGAAGACGTCCGATGCCCGTCCCACCGAGAACGCGGACGACGAGCAGCTCTGCATCTTCGGCCCGTTGGCGGCGCGCCGCGGCGCCGAGCTCAAGACCATGTCGGCCGTGGAGCACAAGCACCCAGGCTACTGCGTGTCGTCCCAGGGCGAGCTCCGGTCCCAGGAGCGCGTCGCCGGCGACGAGGACCGCGACGGCTGGGGCGTCGAGTCCATGCCGTTGACCGACGACTGCTTCTCTTACGCCCTGGGGTCCCAGGGCTCGACGCGGCGCAAGCTCGCGGCCGCGTCGGGCTGCATCATCGAGTACGTGGGGCGCCGCGCGTGCTTCGCGGGCTACGAGAAGGACCGGCAGCGGGGCAAGGACTACCTGCGGTGGCTGCTGGAGCAGCGCACGGGCAAGTCCGACGTCGGCGAGCCCAAGGAGCGCGACGACTGCACGATCATCCGCATCCCGTCGACGTCCGTCGCGTTCCTGACCGGCTACCGCGGCGAGTCGCTCCGGGGCATCGAGCGCGAGTCCTCGACGTTCTGCTTCACCGACGGCGACCGCAACGACCGGTCCAAGCCCACGGAGAACCTCCTCATCTTCTCCTTCTCGCGGTCCGCGCGCGAGCACGCCGCG